TCTTTAAAAACACGCTAAACTGAACCTACGAAGTTACTATGCGTCAGAGCCCTATCTTATGTAGGCTCGTTCGAACGGAAATTTCCCAAGGAATCTGATGGGCTCATCAAAAATAAAATCAAAAAGCTCACTTCGTAAATATTCCACGAAAACAAGTTGTAGCAACAGCATGCATCTCAATGCATGCATGAAATACAGCATGCATCCCAGTGCATGCGTTAAATACAGTGTGCATACCATGCATGCTTTATATAACGCATGCAATGCATGCTGTTGGGTTTTCAGAGAGCCCATATGGATGGACTTTCGCTGTTTTGATCTGCAAATGAATGGACTTTCGTTGTTTTGGTTTGCTCACATGAGGACATTCGTTTGTTTGCTAAACTATGCACATTCACTGTTTTACACTGCTCTCATATTGACTTTCGTTGTTTTTGCCGTAAGCAAGTGCCATTAGAGTCTCTCTTATTAACTTTTACAAAAATATATTGATGTCATCTGTTTGCTGATAATTTTTGTTTCCTGTGTGCCAAGCAGATTTGGTTACCACTAGGACTCTTCAATCAGGAATGTTTTAAGTTTCTCCTGTAAAATTAGGATTGGTGGACTTAAGCGCTTTTGTTGGCTCATCAGTGATTTTCGTCTCTGCTTGCATCCTCCTCCCTTGACACTTAATCCTTATAACATCGCTTTTCAAACAGCATTGACTTACCCAGCATTTGTCAGTGATAGTTGCATTTATACCCGTCACATTTCCGGATATATATTGTAATTCATTTGGTTTGTGTGGGTTAAAGTGCGTAGTTTGAAGGTTCCATTTCCACGGTAATCGTGGGGCAGTTGGATCACACGAGTAAAAACGGTCGGTCCAGGCTATCCATGGACCCTAAACGAAGAAATTGTAGATATCACCGAAGAAAAACATTTACCCGAAATAGGTCGTTGAGATAGTTAAAAATTGTGCACAACCAACAACCACTGTAAATTGCCCACTACTAACAGTATGCGAGTAAGTATTCGGGAGATAACTTCCTGGACAAAACAGATTCGCTCAGAGCGCGCTCCCTATAATAGTCTGAGCATCCAAAGCGGATCCGCTTCTGGGCCGATTTTGAGTATTTTATGCGACGAAGACCCTTGTGAGATTCAGCTGACACGAATTTTTTTTCCCACTATTTGGACCAACTCCTATTTCTTTCTTACCCTCTGAGACCCACTCAGGGGTGGTTGCCAGGATCTGCACCAACCGTTTCGTTGTCCAGAAGTGACAACAATAATACCCTGAACATTTCAGACCTCTAGCTCACGTCCTTCTTGGGGGACGGACAGACGGACAGACAGACAGACACAGAGGCGATGGCATAAGCCCGCTTATATAGCTTTTAAGCAAAAGAGCGGGCTAAAAAGACACATCGAGTTCGAAGATGAGCATTCTAGTTAAAAAATTGACTTTTTAAAAATTGAATAACACAGGTCGCAAAATATTTTTTTTTTTCAAACATTGTTTTATGGGTTCCTCAGGGGTAACTCGTAAAAGTAGATGCGTTGGGCGAAAATTTCGTTTTGCTCTATCTCTACCGTTTGGGTGCTAGTAAGCATTTCATGACGAAAGTAAGGTGAAAATGACCAAATTATCTATTAAATCGCAAAAAAGGCTTGAAATCGATAAATTGTACCGGAAGTAATACTTTACCTACACATCTGGCGTTGAACTACGCCCTCCTTTGCGCGCAAGGGTCTCTTGATAATCTACTATCACTAAAACATTTATTTTTCATACCAATCTGTCAAAATCAGACTTTTTAATGAATATGTTTATCAAATATCAGAAGTTTCATTTCAAATTCGGGGGCCGAAAGGCCCAATTTCCGTATTCACTCCTGTTAACTGGTCTCGGGTGTCAGCGCCGCAGGCCTAGCTATATGTGCGCCAGGCGCGTCGCAGCGTTACAGTGTATCGTGGGATATCGCGAAGCTTATTACGCGAGACGTGGTCTGGCGGACATAAAGCTAGTCTACTGCTGTGACGACAATCGTACGACAGTTCTGTGCTACTAGGGATTCTACGTGAGGCGCCCCCTCTTCCCTCGCTACATTTGGTAAGTATATTGCTTTATCCACCTGCCCGGACACCAGCACTCTGTTAACTGGACTTGGACGCCCCGCCACGACCTCGCGCCACGAGGGGAGGTAAGTGTGCTCCAGAACTCCTCTAACGAAGACGAGCCGGAGCTACTTCACCCAGGGGTTCTACTACTATGATGAGCCAGCTCGTCAACAGGGGCCCCGGACGAATCGGAGCAAATCTTCCGTGCCCGCGGCTGGTGTGACCATCGGACTCAGGTTGGTTTGTCTGCTCCATGCTGCATCTGCATGCTCGCCTCATCGCCTGCCCTTCTCTGTCTGATCTCTCCTACGCCGCCCTACCGGCGCCCTTCCCATCTATATCGGTCTGTCATACCCATACACTCATGTCACCCACCTCTGATTAACAACATACTGCACGTAATGGCTTTGCCAAGGCCCTTGTCCGATGCGCGTTAGGCACCTCGGTATCTGTCCCGCGAAATGAGCGACTTCCGACATTTCATAAGGGGGGGGGGTCGAGTTACCACTTCCTTTCTAGGTTTGACACAAGGGTTCCCTCCGTGAGCAAGCAAGTGGAAGAGCGGGCCTAATTTGTTAACCGCTCTGTATCCAATAAGCAACTACAAAACTGCGAAAACTTGCCGCATAGGAGTTGATGGGTTTGCCGCTGCTGACCCGATGGGTCACAAGTGCAACAGCCAGGAAAAAATAGATCATGTCACAAGAGAGCGGTCATCAGAATGCAAGCTCGTTGAGCAGTTATACACGGAATAATCGCTACCAGTTTAGTAGAGCGTGTCAGGAAACACAGGTCTGATGTAGCTCATGCCGTGCCCCTCGACATCATGGCCTTGCCTCGTTGCGTCGTCTCTCGCCCGCTCGGCGCAGTTCGGTGGATAATTGCATGATATGCGACATAATTGGTGCCGTGTCAGCTTTAGGTCGAGCAGATTGGGAGCAATGGGTACGATTGCTCGAAGAGTGTCAGGTGATCCGCAGGGTTGCTCGTTTATATGGCCACACTGTATTCTTTAAGTTCGTGGTGCCTCTTTGAGCGTATTGTCTTAATGCATTATGTACCAGTCGCTCGTCCCTAACTCAAAGCAAGCACGGCGCAGCACCTCTAGATAAACCAAGTGTCTTTGCAAGCGACGCTCGAGAAACCAAGTATCGTTGCGCGACTCTAGTGAAACCACGTATCTCCAGTTTTGGGTGATTTTTGAAACCTATACCATTCGATATAGAAAATTTCCCTCTATTTAAATATATAGTTCCTGAAAATTCGTCAAAAAATGCGTTACGTGGTTTCACTAGAGTCTCGCAACGATACTTGGTTTCTCGAGCGCAACGCAACGGTACTTGGTTTCTCGAGCGTCGCGCAAAGATACTTGGTTTCTCTAGAGGCGCTGCGCCGTGCGTGCTTTGAATTAGGGACGAGCGCAGTGTTGAAAATTGAGTTAGGCGCGCAAAAATAGGTTTGGTTTAGGCGTAAAAAAGAGACCTTTTTTTTAAAAAAAAAATGGGTAGGGTTAGGCGCCAAAAATATCCCTTTTGAAAAAATTAGATTTAAGTTAGGCGCCAAAAAAAATACCCTTTTGAAAAATTTAGGTTAGGTTAGCAACCCCGAAAAAATGGCGGACCGCAACAATGGGGTATTCATACTACTCCTGGTAGAAACTACCCTAAAGGGTTCATTTAATAAAAAAAACATTTAGGCGTGGTTAGCGAATGTTCTGATGTATGTTTAATATTTTGTCAAATTAACGCGCTAATTCAACATTGTCTCAATCTTCTTTTAAAAATAGGATAAAAAAGACAAATAAAAACAAAATTGCGCTGGTCACAAAATTAGCAAAAGTAAGTAAATGCTTTAGTTTGTTGCTGCTCTTTCTTGCTTTTATTACATACTCTGTTCAGCACACCTTTTCACATACTTTGCATGGAGTTGTCGATGAACTTGCGTACTTCAGCGTTGGCAAGGTTAGTATAAACCCCCGGGAAGAGCCAGTTGGCACAGCCGTTCCCAAAGGACACGATTCCAACCTGCCTGCCGTTTTCATCCACAGCGGGGCCGCCAGAATCCCCCTTGAACAGAGTGAAAAACATTCTGTAGAAAACCTGCATGAGATGCAGTTAAGATAAATACAGAGGTTTGTGATCGGTCGTGATCAGTCTTTGACCGTGGATAAAATGTTTCATCAGTTGGATTTTGGTCGCGCGAAGTACATGCACCTTTGAAACGTAAGGAAAATTCGATGGTCTAAGATATAGCATATATATAGATATACAAGATATAGAAGATATGTATCTTGAGCCTCGGATATTTCCTGACGCTTCAAACAAGCACGTGCGTCGCGCGGCCAAAGTGCAACTGAGCCTTTCTTAGCAGTCTCCCGCCAGCCACACCGTTTTCGTTTTTCAGTTGCGGTCGCTCGGCCAAGCCTTTCACGCATAAAGGCAGAAAGATATCAGGAGGCTGAAGGGGGGTGGGGGGGGGGGGGGCTCTCAGAGTCGCGCCAGCAGTGAAGGGCTGAACCATACGGCGCGACTCTGAGAGGGGACACTGCACAACATCTTTATTATTCCATTACATTAATGAAAATTAAATTGGCGAGATTTCGTGAAAACAGAAAAAAATTAATTGGAAAAACAAATAATGGCATACCTGGCAGGTGTCTTTGCCCTGTGCGGCAGCGCAAAACATTGCGTCGGTAATTTTGGCCATCAAAACGTAAGATAACGAGCAGGTCCATCGGCGCACCGTCTGCACCTTAGTAGTGCGCAGGCCCAGCGGAGGTGTCTTATTGCCCTCCTGCAAGAAAACACTGAGGTAGAAATGCGCCAGACCACAGACTTCGGGCTTCGCGATGTCTCACGAACTGTAACGCTGCGACGCCCCTGGCATACATCTAGCTTCCTGCGGCGCTGAGACCCGAGTCAAAACTCGAAAACTGTAAGACTTTTTCACCTGCAGTTTGGCAACAATGCAAATCTCTATAGTACAATTGTACAAATTTTCAATAAAATTATTCTTGCGGCGTTGCCACGTTTTGGGCAAAAAGATCTATTGGTAGTTATACGGGACTACCTACGACGTGGCCCCAAGTACGCACAACAAGTTTTTCATGTTTTTTTGACTAATGGAGGTCTGTTGACTCTAAACGACGTGGTAATCTTACTCTTAATGTATGGTTTCGGCGAAGTAATTTTCCATGTACATTTTTGGGTTGCGACCTCTTTCTACGGACTTCAGATGAAAGCTTACAAGACCCTTTCTATCTTCTAGTGCCTAATCGGTGAGAGATAAGCCAAAACAGACAAAATTTTGGTTCGAGAGGTTCATCTGTGTCGCATTACTTCATAGAAAGCCTGAAAAATATTTTCTGAATTTACATTATTTGGAGCCTGGGGTTCACTGCTAAACATTCTGTTCTTTAAAGCACAGAAAATCACATAAAAATTCATAACAGACGTGTACGGATTGCAGGTTGAGAATTCCAAGCAGAGCGCACTGCTCTCCAAGCAGGAGCAGGCGTTCACCCCTCTACAAGCCGTTTGACCAGTTTCAAGGCAAACGCCCTATTATTTCGTTTTGAAATTGCCAAATTTTTTTGGAGTGCGAATTCTTTGCTTCGATATCCAAGCACCTACTTTTGCCATGTGCGCTCTGACCTCTCCTGCCGAGTTGGCCGACTAACCTGCACTACGCCCCAGCCACTGAGTGTTATGGTGCTGCCCACTCCCGGCTCCGCGCCCACCGCCACCAGCTGCACCGGCTGCACCGCCGGGCCCAGGACCAGCGGCGTCTCGAGCTTGATGAGCCCCACGTCGTACCGCAGATTCTTCATGGTGAAGCGGGAGTCGTACAGGACCTTTTTGGCGTGCGGGTATTGCCCACCCGACGTACGGAGAGTGGAACCAGCACGAACGCGGACATGCCAGTCACTCTGGACGCTGTGGGGAGCAAATCGTTCTTAAGCAGAGTCGGAGTTCAGCTGTCAGTTTTCCGTAAGTTGGGGAAAAAAGTAAGTGGCAAAAGTGCAACTTAAGTGGCAATGAAGTGTCACTTGGTTACCCACTTGCTAAAGTGGCATTTAACTAGATTTTGACATTGTTAGTGGCAAGGTGGTGAAGCGCCAAGGAGGAGGTGGAGTGCCACGGAGGAGGCAAAGTGGCACTGGAGTGGCATCCAGTCTCTATATGTTTCGCAGTTATGTCTTGTTGCACCAAACACCCTCAAGGGGAGTCTCCAGCTCAAAAATTGAAGGGGTGAGGGCTGACCGTCCTACCCCCGTATTACGCCCTCCCGGCAGCCTCATATGGCTAGAAGAGCGTGGCGGATCATCAGCGAGAACGAAGAGCACCGCACTAGGTTGCCACCCTGCCACTTTGGCTCTTTATGGCCGCTTCAACTTTTGGATTCGACTTAAATTCGGAAAATTCTTGATTGCCACGTACTACTCCGCCACTTTCCTCTTTCCTTGCCACCTAGCCACCTGCGAATACCACTGTACACTTAGCCACTTATTTACAGCCTTGGTTGCTTAACACCACTTAACTTCCACTTCAGGTGCTCTTTGGCACTTACTTTTCTTCCAGGGAAGGAGTCCTGAAATGTTTCTCAGTAACCGGAGTTCAGCTTGAAACGAATTTCATGTGTTTCAAGGATCTTTACCACTTCAAATTACTTTAAAACGGAAAATCAACGTCCTCTGGGAATTTGCATCACTAAAAATTTCTAACAGTAGCATGATAATGATTAGATACCATTGTGCATCTTGCAAATGACACACTTTAAAAAAAACACCAAAATCTGTAATTTGGAGATGCATTTTTTTCAGCATCTGTGATGGACCGTTGCGACGGCAATTTGGCAACAGCGCAAAGTTTTGCTTCAAATCTAATCTGGGCATGTTTCTGAAAAAAAAAAAACAAAAACAAAACACTCGGACATAGTGAATGATTCGAATGGTGATGAGTAATTTTGTTGACAATCACTCTAAATCCTCCAAATCGAGCAGAGAAAATCCGCTTTGCGGCGCAACGGTCGAATACTTAAAATTGTATTCTTTCGGACAAAAACAAATCTTTAATACGGATAGAGAAATTTGTATTCATCGACACAGAAAGATATACGTTGGTGTGCAAAGTTGTACCTTACCTAACCGAGATTCGAACCCCGAACCCCTGGGCTGGGATTCGACGCCGAAGCCCACGCGGCTAAGGCGATACTACCAGCGAGCGGTCATTTTCGACCCGGTGTCATTCTTCCCCATGTACTGGCGTGCGTCTTTGCCTGACGCTTAGCTATTAGGCTATCAAACGGGATTTAAATGATACTTTGGAAATAATTTTTTATCGTAGATGGCGCTAAGAGTCAGTCTAACAGCAACTCAAATCGTGTTTAAATTGAACATTAAAAAGGTAAAGTTTTCAACGCACATACAAACTTCTGTTTCCATCTTACAGAAATTGGTATCCCGTTTTCAGATATTTGTAATCAGATTTAGAGAAAATTATAGAATTAGTATAAATTTTTAAATTAATTAGAAATTTTGCATTTACAAATTTTTATAAACTAATACAAGATTTTGTATCACCGATGCAAATCGCTGTATCACAGAGCCCGGATACAGAAAACTAACGAGTTTTATACAGAAATCTGTAATTTTATCTTAGAAAGCAGGTTTGCACTTATCTTCGTCGTTAATGAAACAAAGACTTACAAATCTTTGTAAAATTTACCGGAAAACACTTAAACGGTTTGACAATGTAGATTTTAAAAAGCTAGCTATGCGACTTGCAAGTCATCGACGTAAATTTGCTATATTATTTGTAATGTTAACAATAAGTAACTATAAGCTTGTAAATTAACAAAGATATTCCAGTGAGGATGCAAATTTGTCATTTTCAAGATTTAGAATTGCATCTTATTGAGATGTGGAAGTTGTACTGGTTCTGAAAAGCTCCGATAAAATAAGTTATAATAATAAACGTCCTTACTAGTAGAGGCAATGGGCAGCTGTCAAGACAAAATTTTCATTTAAAATCGAACCACCGCACTTGAAGGAATCGACGTATGTTAAAGCCACCTGGAACGGATAAGATAAATTAGTATCAAATACTTCGGTACCCCTTATCTAAAGTCACTCACCACCGCTGCGGCTGGGGACCGCTTAGCGCGTTTGGTGCTCCCGACAACCCGCATAGAAGGCTCTGGATAAACGCTGTAGCGCGCTGAAGTCGCCTTTCCACAGAAAATGCAATATTGGTATCGTTGGAAAGAGGCGGAAATTCTCTTTGGAATGATACTAATTTTACAATTTCGGCTAAAAAGCGACTCAAGCGGTTATCAAGAGCCAGCCTCCTATATGGGGTAAGCGTTTGTCGGGAACGCCTAACGCTGTAAGCGGTTGTCCCCAGCAGCCGCGGTGGTCCGGCGGCAGAGGTGAGCATCGGGCGGTCCGCCGTCCCGGTGAGGTCGGCCGCCAGTCCCGGTAAGAACAGGCATAGTTCCGAAAACGACAGGTGTGAGTGAGACGCTCGCACCGGCCAAAGCTCCGTCTCTCTCGGAACCTTGCCGGTTCTTACCGAGACTGGCGGGCGACCGTACCGGGACGGCGGACCACCCGATGCTCACCTCTGTCCGGCGGTGAGTGACTTCAGATAGGGGTGACTTGGTGAGGATCAGTTGAACAGTTAGAATATAATCCATCAATCCATCTAAATGTAACGCTTGCATAATTTTTTTTAGTGAGAGATTTGATTTGAGTGCGTATGTGAATTTTAGGCAGAAGTCGCTTCTGTGGCCATTCTGAAACTTACCTGGTATGGAAATGATTCTATTTTCGCGTCATCTCCACCAATAATGCCTAGATTCGCATCCTTTGTTTGTAGTGCCAGTCGGCTAGGTAGGGTATATCCTGAAACGCAAGCGTCTTTTTCATTTCAACAGGAAAATATTTCGATTGCTGCGCGAGTGCACTTTCGGTTCAAGCAAACCTTGCGCACTCTGTGCCTGCGCACCCACGATATTTAGGTATGTGACACAATGCACATTGGATTGTTACAAGACAATGTTTGAATAACGGAGCGTGTTTGCAGCAGGGGCATGCAGCGGCCGGGTGAGCGGCTGAAGCGATGCTCGGCCGGGCGCGGCAGTCCACCTGAGCGCATGGGACCTGCGCGGCTGGCGTCAAAGGCTTCAGATGGTCATTTTTCCGATGTTTCGTGTCTAACAATACAAACCAGTGCATCCAGTACACCCCATCGGCTCTTCCTCTACCTCTCAGTACTGAAATTTAGTCCCGAAGTCGACATTAAGAAGTATTAGCAAAAGAGCGATTTGAGGTTCAGTCTGCACCACAGCACGGCTGACTTTGTCCAGTTAATGTGAGAAAACTACCCCATTTACCGGAAAAACTCGCATACCCGTGAAAACCACCCCGTATTCGCCGACGTGTACAGCTATCTGGACACGTTCCCAATACAAGTGGCCGAATAGATTCACCAACACGAATTGTACAACACAGATGGTATGTGGACCAGGATGTACCGCGTAGATGTGTATGTCTAAGAATACGGACGGACGAAATTTTGGCCCTAGGGTTCCATTTTCACTAGTTACTTCTAAGAAAACCGTTACAAAATATTTAAAATTAAGGGATATTTTCGAAGTGCTTTCAAAATAGCCCGTCCTTGGCACTTTTTAGCCCGCCCTTCTGCTTTGAAAAAGCTATCCAGCGGGCTTATGCAAACGACCTCGTGTGTGTCTGTGTGTCTGTCTGTTCCACTAGAAGGAGATGTGCTAGAGACTTGAAATTTTTAGGGTATCATAAGGTCCACTCCTAGAGAACGAAACGCCTACGGCAAATCCTGGCAACCACCCCTAAGGGTGTGATTGAGGGTATCCAAGGTTCAAAAATTCTCCCAAAAAGTATTTTTTTTATGTTCTCCGAAGGGGTAACTGTCAAAGTAGAGTCCTTGGCGAAAATTTCGTCTGTTTCGCTCTATTCTTAACCGTTTAGGCGCTAGAGGGTCTTTTTTGACGAAAATAAGCTAAAAATTGCCATGGTGAACAATAAGTTGTAGAAAAAGGCCTTAAAACCGCAAAATAGAAGGGAAACTCTCCCCCCACCCCCAAAAACCTTTTTTTTTCCAAGCAGAAGGGTGGGTTGTAGTCGCGGTGCTTCACCGTTACATCCCTTTCTCGAGTCTGTGGGGAAAACTCAATGACGACGGGTTTAAGCGGGCCTTCGGCCCGCTACATCATCCGATCCTGTTCTCCAGCAAATCGGACAGAAATGGTCGGGCCGCAGGCCCGACCATCGCCGCCGGCAGGCCAAGCAGGCCCGGCCCCTGCTGAACGGAGTTGCCGGTGGAGCGAAGCGGAGCTGGCAACTTCGTTTGGCGGTAGGGCGGGCCTACTTGTTTAAAGCTACACTGTAAAAAATAGTCGTAACTTTACAGTAAAAAATTCCCTAAAGGAATTTTGTAATATGGTTTACTTTTGTAACTGTCTGAAACTTCAATACTGTACTTCGACGGTTACAAAATTGTCTTAAAATTCTTGAAGATGAGTTTTGTGTGAGTTCAGAGCGTATTAAAAACTGGTATTTTTCGTAAGTTTCTGAGAATTGTTGTAAATTTACGAGAAATCTCGTATATTAATAA